ATAAAAATTGTTTGTAATAAAGTATAAAAACATAATCCATAAACAATATCTTCCCAACTATTTCGAAACTTTAGGTATAAAGCATAAAACCCCAAATCTCTAAAAACGACGTTTAGGAATAAAAATTTTATTATAACTCAAAAACTAATAGTGCTAGAAGAAAACGTTATTGATGAAAATTCTTTGTAATAAACCGTCAAAACTTTATATATAAGCGGTTATAATACAATTAAGATTATTACCAACTTAGCGGATTTAAAATCTCAAACATATCAAATGTGAGACAACAAACAACAAAATAGGTTTTACCACAAAAATTAAAACTTGTTGATGAGAATGATATTAATAAAAATTGTTTGTAATAAATCATAAAAACATAATCCACAAACAATATCTTTGGAATTTTAGTTATAAATCTTAAAATCGTAAAATTTCTAAAATGACGTTTTTATTATCATATTATGTTTTTTATCAATTCAAAAAAAAATTAATTTAATTTCTAAAACGGCATAATTTCCTAATTATCAAGCGATTATAATTGCAAATAAAAAAAGTCAAACGACCCAACACGAGCCTTTAACTTAATAATAATAGTAATTATGAAAATACTTATTTTTCAATTGCAGCAATAAATCCTCGATACATTTCCCGTTTTTCCGCCGTTAATGGTAACACTTTAAACTTCTTATTGCCAAAGAGAAACACGTCCCTTTTATTTATCTTGTTTGAATCACCGCCATCATCGTGTTTCTTTCTCCTCGATTCCCTCGAAACAATTTTCTTAATAATCGGTTTTTTTTTCTCGATAATGTCTAATTCGTTTTCAACGTGTTCGATAATTGGTAATTCTTCATCACCGTCATGTGTAATTTGATACATTTCCGTACTTTGAATGTTAATTGAAATGAATCGTGAAAATTTTGACTTGAAAATTACATATTGATGTTGTTGACAATTTATTTATAGTGTCATTAATGTTAAATTATTAAGGGAAAGTGTTCTTGATAATATTTTATGTAAATATTCGGTAATTTTCCAGTGTTTACGAGGATATAGCAACAGATGTTACATAAAACATGGATGTGGTTTTCTAGTATTGCAATTTTCAATTATTTTTTTATAATTTATAATCATATTAAACCATTCTATACTCAAATGTAATTTTATTTTAATTAATTCGCATTAATTATAGATAAGATAGTTCTCGCAGTCTATAATCTAAGAGCATTTATGATCTATTTACATGTCGTTTGTTGTGTTATGTTATAAATTATGAAACTTTTTGTTTCCATGTGCGATTTTTAAAATTGCATATTACAAGGCGTAAAACGGGCGCACTGTGTGTTAGGTATAATTAATTTTCTGTTTATGTACAACGTATCTTTAATAACCTCATGTCTTAAGGGAAGAATAATAAAATAAATCACTTTGAATTAAGAATACTTAATAAATTATCTTTTAATAGAGCAATTCGCTAATAAATCATACGTAGAATTTCTTACATTTAATAATATTCCTTAGAAAGTCTTTTCTATATAAAATAAGTAATCATAGGTAATAAATAATCTTTTTAATCAATCTTTGATTAATCCGGAAGGAATTGCTTTTTCTTGTCCAGATAATAATCAGTTTTTAATTTTTGGCGTACTATAAAAAGGTGAATGCCTTTCTTTTAGATTGAGGTCCAAGAAGTACAAAAAAAGCTTGGGACAACATTGAGCACGATCAAATTACCAGCACTTCACGTGAAGAAAATTCCAAGTAAACGCGGAACGATCCATTTTCGGAAACTGGTCATTTATCGACGACGAGGTAACGCTCCAGATTTTCGTATGGCTCGCGGACCCTCTCATTTCGAGCGTAAATAACCTGAGGGGGCCCCCAGAATTAATCGTCGCGTCGCCGTTCTTGGTGCGGTGCCGGAGGCGAAAGCGCCACTCGTTGGTCGCTCCTGGAAATCCATTAACCCCGGTTAAACTGTTTCGCAGTACCGTACTAACCCATTAACAGTTAACTCAACTTCTACACTTTAAAATTTATTTTCTTTGTGTCCTTTATTTTCGGCAACAAATTTTATAATTTTTCACTTAATTTCTTTTTCCTTATTAACTCCATAAAGATCTTTACCGATACTTACTAATACTAGTAGTTATAGTAGCAACATGTCGTAATGGTCGGAAATTACGGGTTACGGGTCTGAACCAATTAGTATGGTACGGTATGAAAAGTGAGCGGCACGCAAAAGTAATGGTGATTTTCGAAGCGTTTGCCGCTTAATTGTTGACGTAAAGGATTGAGAGGGGAGGAGAAAGAGGAAGGTCATTACCTAAAGGAAATAATACTGAGGGGGCCGTCGCGAGTGTGGTACTCCCCAATTATAGGGGAGCTGGTGTGTTGAGTGCCCGACCTTCTTCTCGTAATTAAATTTACCTTCCAGGAAACAACCGAAACAGCTCGTTGTTGGTTACTTGGTTCCTGTATGTACAAAAAGGAGCAATAAAGGTAGATAATGAGAATTAATTGTGTGTTCTTTTAGAATACAGCTATTTACTGCGTTCCAAGACATAATTTCAAAAAGAAGACTAAAAATCTCTTCCTCAACAGCTAGGAGATAGGTTTATTCTTCGAGGAGACTTTAATGCCAAACTGGAAAACAAGAATTATAATAACAAAAAGAAGAGAATTTTACAAATTAGTTGCAGAAGTAAGATGCGGGTTTCACTTAACTGGAAAATCAAAATACTGGCCGACTGGCAGAAATAAAATTCCCAAATTATTACAATTCCTTATTAGTATCGCTTCAAAACTATTGCACCCAGAAGAAGGGCTAAATCTTGAAAGGCGCAGAAAAAAGGATATCACTCCTCCATAATACTTAAGTTAAGCAGTAAAGTAATTCTAAAGGAAACTTATCCAAAACTTACTGATCAGTATACCATTTCGGTTAAAACATGTTCCAACATAATCGAAGATTGCAGAAATAATTATGATATCTAAACCAGGAAAATCTCCAAATGAGACCAAATAGGAACCAACCTCATCACTCACGAGCCAATACTAGAAGCAAAAACAACTATTCTATCAATTTGGCTTTAGAAACAAGTGCATAGAATCAGCATCATTTTCAAAAAAATTATATTAAATCGAGATTTCAATAAATCATTATGAAATTATCAGCACTTATCAAATAAATTATAAGAAACCGATAACTTTCCAATAAAAGAAACCGATTTTCAAAATATCTTTTAGTTTTTGAGATATCAATGTTTAAACTCAACATTATCTTCAAAAAATCATAAAAAATCGGGATTTCAATGAATCATTATGGAATTATCAGCACTTATTGAACAAATTATAAGCTTTCCAATAAAAGAAACCGATTTTCAAAATATCTTTCAGTTTTTGAGATATTAGTTTTTAAACATCAGAAGGCATTTCCTCATTTTTCTAGTTAAGCAAATATTTCAACGCATTTTCTAAAAAATCATAACAAATTGGAATGTCAATAAATTATTATGAAATTCTCAGTACTTATTATTACAAATTATAAGCTTTACAATGAAAGAACCTAACTTTCAAAATATTTTTTTGTTTTTGAGATATCATTTCTTAAACACAACAAGACATTTCGTCATTTTTCGGGATACAATTATTTTCAAAAAATCATAACAAATCGGGATTTCAATAAATCATTATAAAATTAGCAGCTCTAGTTATACAAATTATAAGCTTTCCAATGAAAGTAACCGATTTTCAAAATATCTCTTAGTTCTTGAGATATTAATTTTTAAACGTCAAAAGATATTTGTTCATTTTTCGGGTTAAGTAACTATTTCAACTCATTTTCAAAAAATCATAACAAAATGGAATGTCAATTATTCATTATGAAATTATGAGCACTTATTATACAAGTCATAAACTTTCCAATAAACTAAACCGATTTTCAAAATACCTTTTAGTTTTTGAGATATCATTGTTTAAACAGAACTAGGCATTTTATCATTTTTTGGGATACACAATTATATTCAAAAAATCATATAAAATCGGGATTTCAATAAATCATTATGAAATTATCAGCACTTATTATATAAATTATAAGCTTTCCAATAAACGAAACCGATTTTCAAAATATCTTTTAGTTTTTGAGATATTAGTTTTCAAACGTCAGAAGATATTTGCTTATTTTTCGGGTTAAGCTACTATTTCAACTCATTTTCAAAAAATCATAATAATTCGAGATTTCAATGAATCATTATGAAATTCTCAGCACTTGCTAAACAATTTATAAGCTTTCCAATAAAAGAGCGATTTTCAAAAAATCTTTTAGATTTTGAGATATCAATGTTTAAACACAAAAAGGCATTTTGTCATTTGTCGGTATACACAATTATTTTCAAAAAATCATAAAAAATCGAGATTTCAATGGCTCATTATGAAATTTTCAACACTTATTAAACAAGTTATAAGCTTTCCAATAAAAGAAACCGATTTTCAAAATACCTTGTAGTTTTTGAGATATCAATATTTAAACACATACTATTTTTTTTCTAACTCGAATTCTCCATAACTTGAAGTTTTCTTGCGCTCCCTTAGTGATTCGAGTTATGGGAATTTCACTGTACTCTGAAATCTTGGAAAACGTTTTGATTGACTTTGAAAATTCTTGGAAAATGTTACTAAATCGCTATAATATATTTGGAAAGCCCAGAAATCCATCAAAATTATTATAAATTTAATTCTAACCACTGTAAGGAATACTAGAACGATTTTTATTTGCTGCCTATTTTGAAAAAATTTGAAGATAGTGAATATATATTTTTATAATATAAGGCACGACCAAATATTAATGAATGAACTAATGTCAATTTGCACATCTTTTCCTTTAAACAAGTTTGGGGGGAAGACATGGGTGCATTAAGGGACATTGAAAATGCAGCTAGATACATAAGGAAACAAAGAACCAAACCGTTTGAATTGGTGTAGTAAATACAGAATCTTACCTCGTGAATACATCTGGATAATGCGTTCTAGAAAAAGCCTTCTCCAATTCCTCCAGTTGGTAACTAGTAAATGTCGTCCGGTACCGCCTCTGTTTCCGTTTCGGTGCAAACTCATCAGGTTCAGGGTCACTACCATCGCTTTGGTCTGGAACGGTCGGTCTTGGTTCGGAACCAGCATTCGGTGCCATCTCTTCCGATACTCCCATACCCTCCGAACTAATCTCTGCTCTATTAGGTTCTGCAACAAAAAATAAAAATATATAAAATCAGGAAGTGAAAAGGTTAAGTTAAAAATAAATTAAGTTAATAAAATAGGATCGTGATGTGCAACATGTAACTGTAAATAAAACGTTTAAAATAGCAGTACTTTAAATGGAAAACACGGAATTACCGTCACCACCACTCAAACTCTATTTAGTTCATTGTCTAAGACTATAATTCTACTAAAGTAAAACTTTTTTCTTTTTTTAAGTATCGTCTGGTCTTATGGGATTCCTTGTCTTCGGACAATTACGCGTGATTACGAACGCGTTTCACCGTAACACTCCCAGATAAGCTATAATTAAGTTAATTAAGTTCGTGGGCGGGGAAAAGGGAACGAACTTTAATCGCAACTCCGCTATAGTTTGAAACCGTTCAAAAATGTGGTTAAAAGCGGCTTGTGTGTGCTTAGGAAACGCGGTCAAGAATCGGTAAAGTATTAGGAATGGAAACTTAAAGCGTAGGGGAAAGTTTATTAGCTTAGTTGGTTTTCAGCGTACCGGAAGCAGGTGCTTAGTCACGCGTCTGTCATAACCGGTCTTTCTCGTACTATTCGAAAATTGCAAGAACAGACCCAAATAGTCGATCAAGCGACGAACCACAAGACTTCATGATAGATCGATATTTCGCCAATTATCCGCAACGTGTTCATGGGTGCGTGGAAATTTAATTTAGATGATAATGTAATTAGTAATCGACCTTGATCTCTTAATAAAAAAAATTATTGAAATCTACCCACAAGTTTATTTTCAAATTTAAGTGCCACGATGACGTCACATAAAATTTGAATTTATAATGTATCTAAAAACGTAAGATGAATAATTGGCCATAAAATATCGGATTATATTGTTGCGGTTATGTAATAAGTTTCTTTTTAAAATACACTTTAAATAATTGTATACGATGATTCACTTTGTAATTAAAAGTTCGTTTCACAGGTCGGCGAGCGCGATGACAATAAAAAGGAGTCAGTGGTGTTTGTGTAATAATAATTAAATGACTAAACAAAAGAACTTTAAAGATGTTTATTTGCGTTAGTTTAAAATTTTTTATGATAAGTTTGTTCTTTTAATTCATTCAATCTTTACCATTTTTTATTTTGAATACATACCTACCTTGAATTCCTTAAGAGACATAAAATTTATTCTACGTTGAATCATTATTCAAGAATTTTCTTTGTTGCTTAACCGTTTTTTTTCTGTTTGGCAAAATTGGAAATAAAATTATGCCGCTAATTATTGCAAATAACTTCGAAATATTCTTATTAAAACCAAACACATTTAAATAAATAGCAAGAATGAAAAAACTTCAGTGTGGACATGAAACCGCAATGAGATCAATTCAAATCGGTGATAGAGAAATATTTATCTTAGAAAAAAATTATAAAACATTGTCACTTATTGTAAAAATTATAAAGGTTTTCAATAAAAAAATTTTCTCATTTTTCGAAATATCATTTTCAAAAAATCATAACAAATTGAGATTTCAATAAATCGCTATTAAATTATCACTTGTTATGCAAACTATAAGCTTTCCAATGCAAGAAACCGATTTTCAAAATATCTCTTAGTTCTTGAGATATTAATGTTTAGACATTTACTCATTTTTTTATGTTAAGCAATTTATTTATATCAATATTTTCAAAAAATCATAAAAAATCGGGATTTCAATAAATCATTATGAAATTATCAGCACTTGTTATATAAATTATAAGCTATCCAATAAACGAAATCGATTTTCAAAATACCTTTTAGTTTTTGAGATATCATTATTTAAACGCAACAAGACATTTTGTCATTTTTTGGGATACGCAATTATTTTCAAAAAATCATAATAAATCGGGATTTGAATAAATCATTATGAAATTATCAGTACTTATTATATAAATTATAAGCTATCCAATAAACGAAACCGATTTTCAAAATACCTTTTAGTTTTTGAGATATCAATGTTTAAACGCAACAAGGCATTTTGTCATTTTTCGGATACACAATTATTTTCAAAAAATCATAAAAAATCGGGATTTCAATAAATCATTATGAAATTATCAGCACTTATTATATAAATTATAAGCTTTCCAATAAACGAAACCGATTTTCAAAATACCTTTTAGTTTTTGAGATATCAATGTTTAAACACAAGGTACTTTGTCATTTTTCGGGATACACATTATTTTCAAAAAATCATAAAAAATCGGGATTTCAATAAATCATTATGAAATTATCAGCACTTATTACATAATTTATAAGCTTTCCAATAAACGAAACCGATTTTCAAAATACCTTTTAGTTTTTGAGATATCAATGTTTAAACACAAGGTACTTTGTCATTTTTCGGGATACACATTATTTTCAAAAAATCATAAAAAATCGGGATTTCAATAAATCATTATGAAATTATCAGCACTTATTAAACAAATTATAAGCTTTACAATGAACGAAACTTATTTTCAAAATATCTTTTAGTTTCCGAGATATCATTGCTTAAAAGCAACAAGGCATTTTATCATTTTCAGGATACATAATTTTTTTCAAAAATCATAAAAAATCGGGATTTCAATAAATCATTATGAAATTATCGGCAGTTATTATATAAATTATAAGCTTTTCAATGAAAGAAACCGATTAGCAAAATATCTTTTAGTTTTTGAGATATCATTGTTTAAACGCAACAAGGCATTTTGTCATTTTTCAGGACACACAATTATTTTCAAAAAATCATAAAAAATCGGGATTTCAATAAATATTTATGAAATTATCAGCACTTATTATATAAATTATAAGCTATCCAATGAAAGAAACCGATTTTCAAAATATCTTTTATTTTTTAAGATATTAACTTTTAAAATAAAACGATTCCGTTAAAAATTGCAAATAACTTAGCTTATTAAAAGCAACACGTAAATGTTAATTGATCGATTTGATTAAATGCCAAAGTATGTTTAGGGACATAATTAGAGAACGTAATTGCATTAGCGGTATCCGCAGCAAACCAAAATGCAAATCCATCCTAAGCCATTTAAATAAATAGTATGGTGTATCGTGTTCGAGAATGAAAAACATCTCATCTCTCGAGTGGAAATGTAACCGCAACGAGACCAATTAAAATCGTTGATACAGAAACGTCGACTAATACCTCGTTAGATTTTAGCAACACATCAATTAAAAAAAATTGTGAAATGTTGTCATAAAGGTGCGAAATAAACCGTAAGTTATTTCGATTCGTATCAGATGGCGTGGTGGAAATGTGATATGATCAGAATGAGCCTCATCTGCCGCTTCTGGCGTCGCACTTTACAACTCTTCCTCAATATATAGTTCCTCTTAAGATGTTGTACCACCGTATTATCTGATCGACAAGGTTACCTGGGCATAACATCTCAATTAAAAGGGTTTACGTAACAGTGCATTTAGGTGTGTGCACGCGGATGTTATTTATAATCTTATTCATCGCTTTTATAACAACTAAACCTAACAATATTTCATTTTTTATTTAATTTTTCTTTACGATTAACATAATAATATACAATATTACGAAAAAAATTGTCTCAGTTTAGTAAGAAAGCAAAGCTGGTTAATAATGGATTCCAATTACTCTTAACTGACTGGTTGGATTATAGCCTCTTTTTATCCTTCCTAGAAAGAGTTTCTTATGAGCTTTTACATTCCTTTTAAATTGATATTGAGTATAATTTTCTACGATAAATAACAAAACCGATTGTGTCTAACTGCACTTAGTCCTCAATCTGGGTATTTGAAATTAAATCAGCTAAAAGAAATTAACGATAATAAGTACTTAAAGAAAAACATAAAAATTACTCACTTCTTAACTTTAAAGGAGAATGGATGAGTAATTTTTATTAATTTAACAATTATCAATTTAAAAGTAAAATAATTTGGATTACGATGAAATTCTTTTTTGAGTTGGGTTTATACCTAAAAGACGAATATAAGAATAAGAAAAAGAGTTGTGGATTGTTATAACTTTCGGTCATGCTATGGTGGATGGTGGTGGAGTTTTAGGAGAGATGAGGAGTGCCGCGAAGGATCGGTATGCGCCATAAACACGTCATATCATCGCATAAAATTCGAAAGTTACGTTCGTGGCCGCCCCGGCTCACTAAATTAACTTAATATATTGCGGCCGAAGCGCCGGCCCTACTAAAAGTCGATCAAGAGGGCCGCTTTGGTGCCGGTTCTCCGACCCGCTGACACCTGCCGGCGGACGCCGAAGACACGCACGTCCAAAAACCAGGGTTCGCGCGCGGCGGGATCCTTGTTTTTCTGTCAATTCGGGGCGTCATAAACATACATAACGGACGGACGTCAAAATAGAACAAGAATAATAAACTGATTGATTAGAGAAAATCAAAATCAAAATAACTTGAATCATCAATTTGTGTTTAATTAACCCAACCCAACCCAACCCTAGTGTTAGCCAATGCAAACTCAAACTTGTAAATCCTCATTATGATTGCAATTATGACCTCATTATGGCAGAATTGGCAAGTCATTCAGGAAGCTTTTTATCACAAAATTTAACTTTTCTTTTGGATATGACTGTTTCGATACATGCAATGCATCTGACTTATTAATAGTCAACCCTGATCAAGAAGTTATCTAGGACTTGATAAAAATGCAATTTCATCGTATCTCAAGAACCAATTGAAATATCACCATGAAATAAAAACCATTTTGAAGCAAATTTAATTGATATTTAATGTTCCAAAAATCAATTCTTCATTTCTACAAACTTCGACGTTATGATTTTTTAAATACTTCTCTGCAATCCACTTATGACAAGTTAGAACTATACATACGAAATTTGAAACAATCATATCTCAAAAACTAATTGAGATATCGAAATGATTCAAAAGCCATTTTATTGCAAATTTAATGAAGTTTCAACTCACCAAATATATTTGTTTCGTTCCCATACATCTCGAAAATACAATCTTTTTAAATCAACTTTGTGGTT